CCCTGCGCTGGTCCCCCGGCTCGTCCCCTCACCCTTCCTACTCTTTAGGCTGTGCTGCCCCATAACTTCCCCCCAAACATTCCTCCACTTGTCCCCATGCTCCTGGTCCCCATGCCCTGTGGACAGCTGCAGGTCCTCTCCTTTTGAGCTCAGTTTTGGGGAAATGGATGTCTCTGGCTAGAAAAAGAAATCTATTTGGAGATAAACGCTCTTTCTCCAAACCCGGAGGAAACGCAGAGTTTGCTGACTTGGCCCCTGTGAGCTCTATAAACGTGAGTCATCGTCCTCCTTGGACCAGTTCTGCTGTCTTCTTCCCGTCCTCCTGCCTCTCAGCTGGGGCCTCTTGAGACGCTGGCAAGTGACCGCTTCTGATTGACATTGTATTCTGAGGTTTCATCTTTAATCCAGCAGGGTCCTTTATGCAGCCTTCCCCCAAATCCTCCTAGGAGGGGGACAGTGAGAGAAGGAGCACCCCCCCTTCTCTGTTCTAGGAGCTCATCCTATAGAGGTCCTCGTGGATCCCTTCAAGGACACAGGAAATTCACTCCTAGTGGGCAGAGCAGAGCAAACTTCCCCACCCTACGTTTCACCCTCAGACAAGCTGTGCAGACATTGCTATGCCTTGCTTTGTGACAGAAGGACACTCCGGAAATCTCATGTTTAATAATAACAACCACTCCTCCATCTGTGAAGCCCTCTAGAGTTTCCAGAGCACTTTTACAGACTACACAGAATCGGATCGGAGCCTCACACCAACCCTTTGCAGTGGGTGGTGATTATTAAAGCACTCTCATGGTGTCTGAGCCTGTCAGTGTTGGAGGGACTTCAGATATCACCTAACCCGGCTACCCAGCTGAAGTTCCCATCCTCTCCAGAGTGGCCCAGCTGGCCTGTCACTCCTGCTTGGCTCCTGCAATTGCAGGAGACTTGCTATCACCTGGAGGAAGCCCATTCCAGCCTGAGAGGGTCAGGGGCTTGGAAAGGTATTATCATATGTAGCTTGTCTCCTTGTTAGAGATTTGATGCATTGTTTGTGGTTTGGCCTTTGGGGGCATAAAGAGCAGAGCTGATATAATTTAATCCCTTCATTCAGATTTTCTAGGGAGCTCTCATGTCTCCCCATCTTTCCATTTGCCCCAAATCCAGGTTCCTCCAAATATTCCTCATACAGCATAGCACAGAATCTCTTCACTGTCCTGGTCAATTCTCCTCTGAGTATACTTCCATGTCCTCGTTCAATCAGAGTAGGATGGGACTAGAAGCTTCCTCATGCTGGGAGCTGTGTTTCTGTTAATACATGCTCACGTAGCATTCGGTTAGGTTTTTGGTTTTTTTTTTTCTGATAGGCATATTACACTTTGGACATATTGAGCCAGCTGTCAGCTAAAATACTGCTGCTAATCCTTGCTCTGTGCTTACAATATTGATTTTTTTCCCCAAATGTTAGAAGTGTTAAATTTTAACTTTATAAAAATTTATCTTATTAGATTTAGTCTGTTGCCAAAATCTGTAAAGATCTTTTGGATTCCAGTTTCATGTCATTCATGAATTTGTGAAACACATCTTTAGACAGCCTTTAAATCACTGATAAAAATGCTGAAGAGGACACTCTTCTGGAAACCTCCCCCAAGCTGATGTCTGTACTTGAATTGCCTTCCTTCGGTTGTAGTTTACTAACCTACACATAATTGTCCACCAGGCTACATCTCTCCCTGTTTTCCACAAAGATATCATGGGAAATACTTTGCTGAAGTCACTTTCACCATAATTTTCTGACATGCAAACTTAAGAATCATGTCAAATCCACAGACTGAGCTCCATACTAGCAGACACTCATCTCTGGGACGCCAGAGCCTTGCACAGTGCCTGGTACATAGCAGAGACTCAAGAAATAGCTAAAGTGGCTCGGCGCCTATGGCTCAAGCGGCTAAGGCGCCAGCCACATACAACTAAGGTGGTGGGTTCGAATCCACAGCCCGGGCCCGCCAAACAACAATGATGGCTGCAACCAAAAAATGGCCAGGCGTTGTGGCGGGTGCCTGTAGTCCCAGCT